ATATTTAATGCTATTTTCTTAAAACATTCATTCATCATAATAAAAGTTTCGTGTGCTGAAGTACTATGCCTTCAACATTCCCCGGCCCCACATAATGTTTGCCCTCAAAATAGACGACATTTAACTGACAAACAACTTAATTGAGGATGTTGTTATAATTTGATTTAATGTAATGGTTTCCAATCCATATCCTTGGGCGATGGTAAAAAGAAATATGATTCTAACAGCGTAATAGTGCTCTAATTATAAACAATAGAAAAAATCACATCACGTTTTTGCTATTAATTATTAAGTTTTTATATAAAGGAAAACAATAGAATTATATGCAAAATTCCGTTTATTTCTACAGTCATTTTGACAACAAAGACCTTTAATATTATTTTCAGTTCTCAGAAACTAATACATTTAAACAAAACGTAAGCAAACCACCTTAACTAGACCTCAGGGATTACACAATTAGTACTAAGCGTTTTCTTGTTTAAGAACGGGAATAAATGTTACGAGCTGCGGTTCATTTTATGTTGGTACTGCATGAGTCGACTACAGAAATAGATTACAACATTGCAATAATTATATCAGCGGCTGCTTTGTTTCGGTGATGTTAGTACTTATTTGAAACTTAGATTGTTTATTACAAGCATTATAACTTTCATATCGAATACAATTTTAAAAATTCTAACTTTATGCCGATTCTACATAGATGGGTTAGGCTATGTTCATTTAACAAACTACCCTATATTTATAGAGTTCGTAAGAACCTTATGCTTACTACGGTTCAGCTGTTTGTGCTCCCGATATTTCGTCAGAAAAAGAATCTCGTGTCTTACGAACTGTATAGTAGTAAAAACAACTTAAAGTTATATACTCTACATTTGTCCGTATCATTCTTGAACAAGATTTTAGTCCGAATTTAACCCTTAGTAGCCTGATTTACATACGAAAGTGATTTATTTTTAATATTACTGTTTTTGCTTGATAAAACAAAACAATCATGCAATTTGTTTTTTTTTATTTCGTTGGAAAGAATAGAATACAACAGTAAAATAGGTACAGCCAACCTATAAAAAAAGTAATAGTAATGTGAACATTCGGTTTAAAAGATTGGTATCAAAATTAAAACTCTAGGCGAATAAGGGTTAACGTACTAAAAGTGATTGAATACAATTAAAATTTCCACAAAGATATTTAACATTATTCAAATTATGACACCTTACAAAATAATAAAAACACGTTTGATCCTAACCTCAATAATTTACCAATTTAGCAATCAACATGTTAATAAGAAGATAAGCAATAGTTCCTGACTGATGCCTTCTCTAGTGTGTAGTGTAAAGTGATAATAAATACGTCTGACGTACGTCGAATATCGATGAAAATTATTATAAAATGCTCTGAGAGCTTATGAAAGTGTGAAGATGGGAGCGCACGGGTCCAAAGAGAAGCTCTATAGAGCAAACTCCGAGAAGTATCCGTCTAAGCTGCCGGTTCCTAATGATAAGAAGTATAAAATTGCTGTGAATCGAGAGAGATTCGGCTCTTTTGGGACTAGAGGTGAGTATCGTTCTTCTTTCATGTGTTTTTGGAAGATTTTTAGGCGACATACAGTACTGTATCTTTATGACATTAACAACTATTAAAACATTTATCAAATAGGAGAAATTCCAAATGTTTAATCGACTTTTATGTAAAGACAATCAAGGCAAATGTACCACTTAAGTTTTTTTTGTGTGTGTCTTACCTAAGTTTCCACTTAGCGGCAATGAGTAAAACTATAGAATAAAGAGATATTAACAGAGCTTTTCCAGTTAAGTCGACTTTTGCAAGGTCGTGACTGCATTGCACCAGACGGCAATAATTTTAAGAATATACGATTAATAACTTAAGTTCAAAATAAAGTATTTTATGCATTAATATGATTAATAAGTCTCCAACCATTTGGTTTCTAATACCAATTTGAAATATAATTTAGTTGAAAACTTTGCAATAATTTACTTTAAAATTTTCCGAGTTAAACTGTATGCGATTGTTCTTACCTTTTAATATTATAAAACAATTAATTCACTCTCGCTAACGCCTACTTTCTGTCCTTAGTTTTACCTCGCGACCTTCCATTGTTCCATGGAACAAGTATACTTGTACGCGGAATGCTAAATGCAAGATGCAAACTCTGAATAAAGTTTCGGCCAAGATATTGTTTGCAGAGAAGGCGTTTAAAATTAAGTCACTATCGTAGATATGTTTTAAGTATTTAAGTTTCTTTAAGTATTTTATAGCATAATTTCCCAAAACTTTGATGCATGTCTACCTCAATTATTTTATTTACACCGTTTCGGGCATCAAAGGATGAATCCCGAAATAGTTTTTAAACTCTAGTATGCCAAGAATATAATTTGCAAGTTCCGACAATAAACGGAACAATAGTGACAACTGGTAGATTGAAAATACTCAAATGATGAGTAGAAGCGACTGTTTATATGGTTGGTTGGAATTTGCTAAATAAAATTTCCAACGTAGTAACGAAGTATGGAAATAGGAAAGTCAAGTAAACGAGATGTAGCGGCCTGAAATATATATTTATGAAATATTTTATCAAAGATTGAAAAAAACTAACTTATTATTATATAATATTCTAACGTAATTCTATCGTCAAATGTGCTAAGAATTCTTTCGTAACAATGTTTTCTCTGTTTTTAATAATTGTTTAATTTTACAAATCAATTATGTCACATTTGTTAGAGACGCATTATTATGATTATACTATGACGTCATTATAAAATAATAGTTGACACAGATGTTTGAAGAAAGAGTTACGCAAATGATCTAATATATCTCATCAAAAAATATTATACAATTAGTTTAAGTTTAAGTTTTAAAATTCTATACGTGAATAAATCCTTAGTAAAATTATGTAAAACATGTAATATTTATAAATAAATCGCTAAGAACAAACTGACCGAAATAGTATTATCAGGAAGACAAGCGAAAGTTGCGCGGCCTTTTTTTACTTTGGTATAAAAATATATTTCCTGGGCCGTCGTCACTTCGGGTTAAAATTAACATTATGTTTCTCATTTATTTCGGGAAGCACTAAAATGCATTAATATAGTAACTCGTATTTAATTAACTGCGGGATACTAATAAAAACATATATTTGTCAAATAGATCCCATTTAATATGTTTCGGAGTATATTATTTATTAAATCTTCTTAAAGGTTCTTCAAGGGTAAATATAATACTTAGTAGAATTTTCATATTAACCCTAAGATTAAAAATCTATTTATAGAAATAAATGCACACTTGTTACGGTTACAGTCGAGGAATATAATCTCCTACCCATTTGACGCTTTCAACGCAATTAGTTTGAAAATTCTGTTAATAACATACATGCTAAATTATAGCTCCAATGTTGACAGTTATCATCTTGATATTCGATACAAAATAGGAAATGAAAGTAATTCTTTGTCTGTACATCCCTTAGCCTATTATTTCTTCACACACTCCAGAATCTTATATTATTTCTAAGGATTACATTTACCGCAGTTCAAGTGGCGATGCGAGTGTTGCGGTTTGCAATGTAGAGACCGCACCTGTGTGTTTCTTGTCCATACTTTGTGGGTTCATGCAGTACACGAACCGAGATATTCTTAGCGCTGTCGTTTCCTCGACTTAATTCCGAATAGAAACGTTGGCCTACTCTATACTAGGCTATTCTTGAAAATATACTTCTCGCTAGTTTCGGCACATACATTTTTTTATATGTAAGTTAAGTAATAACTGTTTGATCGGTAAAAAAAATTGTTCAATGTAAAGTCCACATTTGCACCTGTAACCCACGTATCTTGTTTTTTCAAAATAATTAATGATAACTATTTTTGTATGCGTATGCATGTACAAAATGTAGAGTATACGCAAAGAAACAGTACCATGCACATTGTATTTTTATTACTTTTCTGTTTACGTCGTTAATGTATTATTAGCTCGCGGCATATAAAGTAGGAATTCAAACAACTCGTTGTATCGACGACAATGCGCAGTCACTTGCAGCTGGAAACCTAGTAATGCAAGAAACTATGTTAAGATGTACGTTTTAACAAAGAAATTCATTTGACGACCTATTTTAGTATTTAAATATTCGTATTTATGTTATTAAATGAGTTCATGTTATTATAATCCCCACCCTGGTTTCTTCATAAGCTTCTCCTCAATTTTACTCACCGTAAGTTTCTGAGACCAAAATCAGAGGAGACGAAGCTGCGGTCAAGTACTAGTTTATAATAAGATTATGGATGACCCGCGTTATATTGTGACGTCATAATTTCTAAAAAAAATACCTAAATTTAAATCGAGTCAAAATTAAATTGAACTAGAAAATTATTTTTACTAAATCACAAGACAAAGTGTACGGTTTGAAGTGTAAAGTTTTCTTTCTCCAAGTTATGATGTGTGAAGTTTTCTTTTATGGAATGTTGTTTAACAGCTACGAGGTTGTTCACATTAATTATGAAATTATTTAATTAATTCGTGTTGTCAGATATTGCGTAGTAACACTAAAAAGTCACCTTTTCACGGACTTTTTGCATTGAGTCTGGTGCGAGATGTTCCCACGGCAGCCCACTTATGACTGTTTTATGCCAATATAACTGCAAAATGAGTGCATAACGTAGACTATTCGTTCGTTACACTCGTCTATATTTATGGTTGAATCGATGCATTTGGTGTCGACAACCAATATGAATTTTAGTTTGATCGTTTTATAGAAAAGTTGCGGTTAATATTTTTTTTTGGTATTTATAATCATTTCATTAATTTAATGTCATGTGACTTTACTGCTATTATATTCTAAGTGTAAAAAATTAACAACGAAAGTCAATAAAAATGCCTTGATGAAGTTGAAATAAGTAACTTTAACAAAGCAGGAGACTTTTCAATAGGTCAAGAAAAAACCATTTTCCACCGAGAAAATTTCCTGTTTATAATAAGAAAAATGTCATCTTTTTCAGGAAATGGCAAGAAAAGAGACAGCGCCCCGACGCCGACAACCCCCGCGCGGCCCCCGCCGACACCCCCGCAACCGCCCCCCGCGCCCGCACAGGGTGAGTCATACATCTTACTGCCAACATGAAAATCGATAACGGCTTTATGTTACGACGAATTCTAATAGCACTTGAAGTTCTAGCCTAGATACTAGATTTAACGCAATGCAGTTAAAACCTATGTTTATTGTTAAATTAATGTTGCTTTTCAATGCCACAATTTTTATCGCCAGGAGCTAATACTAATTAACACTGAAGATTCACTTTCGATCAAAATTTATTAAATATGCACTTTAGCAAGGCTTGGGCAGACTGTAATTTAGGTATTTATTAGAGGTAGATTTATAGGAGAAAGAGAGTCACGCAGATTTGATTAGTAGTATAGTATTTAGTAGTACTCGTACCCATGAAGAATATTGTGTAGATTCCATAACTATACCATAAATAAATGTCTTAATTAAACATAGATATTTGTACATTTTATTCTTTAAAATCATAGCAGTTTGGGACTTCTGTTCTCAGATGACTCCGTTTTTACGATGTGTTTACGGTAACACACGTTTAAGTAGAAAGTACAATTGCTTATAATTACAGAATGGTAACCATCAATGCGTTACCATTCGGTGGTAACCGCCCACGGCGATAGTTAACGAGTCGTTTTATGTTCTCCTTATCTTAAACATCGCTAATCAAGCTACGTGCACTCAGTTACGTAACAACGCGTTATTTAACTGCTAAGTATAGACAGACAATAGCGCCTGCGCAAACTTGTCCTTTGGAAAGTGTGTCAAAAGGTAACCAGTTTGTTAAAGCACGCCCTTCCATTTTTAATTGTCGCCTGCAGAGCAAAGTGACATTTTTCAAAATTATTTTACAGTTAAGTAGCGTACACACTAAATTAATACCTTTTATACTTAGGGATAGAAATCTAAACCCTAAAAGAAATAAAGAACAAAACATGTAACTACGTTAGAGCTTAGATAGTAAAGAAAGATCTGATTTAATAATTATTTAGGGTTAAAACGTAACTAATTGTCCTAAATCCTAATAATTACACGAAGGTTTTTAACCCCAATCGTGTTTCTTAATATAATAATTACGTTTTCAAATGCGTTTAACGCGATTTGCGTGATCGCAATAAGAATTTTTACACTCATGACTTTTATTCAGAAAAGTAATGAAAAATAGAACGCAGTAACTTAATTTTAACGAAGCAAACGGCCTTTCTTGAAATAGCGAAGTGACCGATGTTCGTAAACATCTGCTAATAATTGCAGTAGCGTTTCGTCCCACCTTTAACGGAGAGAAGAGGTTATGTATCGATATATCCAAAGTCGATACTTCCCCTCTTACTCTTCCTATACGTCACTTTCCCTGCGAAATCTACTTCACTATTTTATCCTTAATAAATATGTGTTTGGTTCATGTCTTCAGTACAATTTAATGGTAACTCTCAGTTTCTTATCCTATAATTAACTTCTATTTAATGTTCTGCCAGTTATAAAGTTTGTGACTGATATGTGAAGATGAAATAGATAAAAATGTCTTGTGTAACGTGTAATGTAAGCCAGGCCGTCCCTCACTTTCACTGCCACGCTACATTACTAACTTTGATATCAGGCTACATGTGCAAACGTATCAATTTACATTGTATAATGTTCCCACATGACTGTTGTGTCTACAAAACAATGATGTTTTCGTATACAACTGCTGTAAACTCAATTTAAAGATTTCAATCGTTCAAATGTACATATGTAAATGAAATTAACTATTCCCACGTTAACTTCCTGACTTTTACTGGTAAAGAATTAATTTAAGAACCCACATTTGTTACAATGGTAAAAACAGTAAGTCTATCGGCAAATAGTAACTAATGTGGTTTGAATTTTTCTACAGATTGGATATATTAAAGAAGCTTATATACGACATTGGTGGCCAAATTGATTAGACCTAAGGTATACAAACTTTTAACAAAATCCAGCGCGGTCTAGCATTACAAACTTCCCAAAATCTTAAATTAAACAGCATTTAGTGCACCATTATGTAGCTGTTACTCGCGTCTTCATCATAGTATAATAAAAATAAAATATACAATAGAACAATCAAATCAATTGCATTTTCATAACAGAGTCATCCATCGGCGGAAAGCGGTACTATTTGTCGGCTTCAAAATTATTGAATGGTTCATATTATATACAGAAAGTCAACGAGAATTGATTTTATAACAAGAGACTTCAGTATTCAAGGAAAAAATACTGGTTTAAAATTCCAGTACCTCAATTACTTAATAATTAAAATCATTTACTTATATAAGTTTATATCAGTATTGAGCGTAAAATAACATTCCGGAGACCTTTCTCTGGCCAGTGTTATGCATGTATGCTTTGATAACCGGTAGTTAACGGAAGCTCGCGATAAAAATGTAAAGAAAGCAGGTTGAATACGCCAAGTGTAGCAAATTGCATAAAACCATTTTAAAACTGATATGTTTTATATTTTACAATTTGATGATGATTAAATTGATTTCTATTGGAATATTCTACTAAAATTGTTCTTACATTTTTTATAACTATAATTGGATTTTAAAGAAATGGCGCAATTAATTTGGTGGTGTGAGAGAATTGTTAGAATTGTGTTTTGTAGATAGCCTTGAAAAGACATACATCTAAGAATGCTACACCTTTGAGTTTGATCTGAATTCTATTGTCTTCTATGGTGCATATTTATCTATGGGTTTAACATTGATGTCTTATGGTTTAGGGATAATTATGAAACACGTCACTGAATTTCCTACGTACATCAAGCAAGGGATAAAACAATAAATAATACGAAGCTGTGATATTACAGTACAATTAGATAATAGACGATGTTACAGGTTTTTTTGATTAATATGTAATGTTACATTTCAGTCAAGAAAAATGGTGTGGTGCAGAAGCTATCATCGTCCCCCGTGACCGTGCGGGCGCGCACCTCCCTCGCGCCGCCACCGTCCCCCAGGAAACCTCCGCCACATCGCGCACCAGCACAGCGACCCAACACTTTGACCACCAATAAAGGTAAGTTCTTTTATAATGTAAGACCCATCGGAATAAAGGTGTTCACAATTTAATGCAACGCTGTAACGAGTGCTGCCGTCTATGATGTACATTGAAAATTCACGCTTGACTTACTTGGTTTCGTCTATCGCCAAGAGATGGCAGTATTCTCATTTAAAGAATTCAAACAGAACATATCAAGCACAATTTAATATATAACAGATTTCATGTTATTATTTATTTACACAAACTTTTAGCATTGTAATTTTTGTAAGAAGAAAAACTTCGAAAATAGTTTACGTTTTTGAGTTCGTATTGCAATGTCATCGCAGCGTGTGAAAATTAAAAATATAGTTGTGCATTGTAACATACTGTTTAATTTTTAAATAAATTTAAACTATAGTTAATTTGAATTATGTTTGTTATAACTATTTTTATCCTACAAACATCTTGTGTTAGGTCAACGATAGCTAAACAGCGCCATCTATTAACGTTTAACTTGAATGAAATTAGGAACATTTACATAGTATGAAGTGGTTTCGATTCCCGACCGACTTAATAGTTTAAACAATTTAATAAATTGTAATAAATTTCCTTCTCTAGAATTTGATTTGGTTTATCAAAATAAATATTAACATTATATTTACCCTTTTTTTGAAAGCTTTTTATATTTAGGTATATTTTAACACCTAATATTTTACGGATCAAAAAATGTAATATATAAAAACAGATAATTTCTGAATGAACTTTTAAAAAAGTGAGTTTTTAAAATAGTAAACAAAAAAATTTATCCCATTTTGTGCTTTTTGTTTTATGAAGTTACCGAACATTTATTTTAAAGCAAACACAATTAATGACCTCATTTGTTAAAATTTGGTGGGAAATAAAAAAGCACAACCGTGACGTATTCATATAAATTTTGTTACGTTACATATGTATAGTTATACATTTATTGCTGGCGATTAAGAAGATAATACAAATGAATTTTAATTTTCCCAGTTACGTGTTCACGCGCTTACGTAATTCCATTATTGTGGCATACGCAACTTGATAATTAAAAACATCGTGCGAAATCTGCGTGTACTTCAATTTCAAAAGTACTATAAACAGCGAGAGAGTCGAAAAATCAAAATTGTAACCGAATAAAAAACAATACGACGTTAAAGTCACATATACAGTTATCCTGCACGACGCAGATTAAGTGTAATTCGAATCGTGTTAGAGTATGTTCGATAAATTTTAACGCTTGAAATTGAAGCTTTATGTAAAACATGCACAGAACGTTGTCCAATGAAAGTTCGTCTCTGAAGAAAGTGTACGCCAGGCATAGACGAAGGCACGACGGACACTGTTGTGCGCGCATCCGAACGGTTATGACAAAAAACTGCTAGTGCATTTGGAGCGCTCCAATTTTAGTTCGAAATTTAAATTTAACAATTAATATTCATCAAAAAGTTTTTAATTAAATTATATTTATATTGTAAAAAATTGAAGCGTTGATTTGTTACTTGTTTGTAATTATCGAATAATAATATAGTACATTTGGCGCGCTCTAATTTTTTCAAAATCTTAGATTTTTAAGACATTGTTAGTTTATAGTTTATTTACTAGACTTAATTGTAGACATTAAAAGTGACTCTGATTTATTTTTAAAGTGTGTTTATGTATCGACTGTGTTATATATCGATTTTGTTGTTTGAAACATGAGTCCGTTAAATAAAATCGTGTCGCTTTTTCATCCAAATTCGAAGAGCAATCGTAAGAATTCATTATTACACCAAAAAATATTTTCGAGTGAATTGAATATTCGTAGTGATGTCGAGGACTTGAAACATAAGTGGGGCACTTTGAATGGATATTGTGGTATCAAAGGTGAGTTTGGCCATATCTATTGTTTTTTTCTACCCGTATGTTAATTAAAATAGATCGAATTTTCATCAATTTATTTGAAAAAGACTTTTAAACTGTATAATATTTAAATGTGGGGATTGAAATACCACCAAATCTAAATTGTTTTTGTGTAATGTGACGTAGGCATGTTATGTTTGCATAGTCAATGAGAAGTTAGTTGATGAATTGCCACATCGCAACATACAAATGTAAAATTTACGTATAAATAATATGTTACGCTCATATTTCTAACGCTTGTTACACATTGTTATTACGATAAATAATTATCTATATTACGTTAGCCAATGTCTTTTCGTAGAATGTATTTACGGTATTTTCATGATGCAAAATGCTCGTAAACTTGGATATGCACGATTGAACTATTTTTTCGTTTAAATATAAAAATAATTAGGTTTTTTTAATATAAAGCCATATACAGTTTCGATAGTTTTAGTTTAATGTCATAAATATGTATTTTATAATGTCTTATGAATGTTGACAGCTGTTCAGCAATCAACAATTGACATGGTTGACGGGTTACAATGTTACGTGACCCAATACATCTTTACCTCTATTATTGTACAGTCAGCTGCATAATTATGTATACATTTACAAATATTAAAAAACTAGTATACGCCTTCGGTGCCACGCATTTATTCGTATGCTTCAGATCATAAAAACATGATATTAAAATTCGTGCCGATGTGTTTTTAATCTAAAGTTTTGCAAGTGTACACATATTTATGAAGCTGACTGTACAGAACAATCCGTTCGTCAGCAGATCATTCGTGATAAATAAAAACGTTTATTTACGTTTACATTAAACAGTAATTTCACAATTATCTTCAAAAAGAACACGAAGCATTTACTTAATAACAAATACCGTCGCGTGCGCTATAAATCTGCCGACGTTTAAACAGTCTCACATTACGTTGATGCCCTAAAAAAATCGCAGGCACAACGCTAAATGCAAACAATTATCTGAAAGCACGTCTTGAAAGCGAAGCGTCAGTGTCTATCAATGTCTCGAGCGGAAACTAATAAGATTCGTAAAGCTTGACCATTGTGGGTGGTATTTGATTCGTTAACTTGATGTTCCGATTATTCGATTTCTGTTTATCGCTTTCACAGAATGTTTATACGAAAATTTGCCGGCACTTCCTCATCACACTTAAATCGATTAATGTCTATGCGTTGGAATAATTGCTTGTTGGATTTGGTTGTTTGGATTATGTGATGATGTTTTTCCGTTTTTAACATTGGATCACCTTTTAATAGAATACAATTTATATAATAACAGTTTAATTATTATAAGCACCTGTACACAAGATACTAAGTTTTTGGTTATTAAGTTTAAAAATAGAAAAGAACTTTAAGTCTGGCTGGCTGAATTTGTTCAAGACCAATAAAAATTACTGCTTTTACGCTGCGATTCGCACGACAAGGAACAGAACCGGATACATCCATTACTAGGGAGATAATCCATCACAGTCGTGGGTGGCTTTTTTATTTTGACATGTTTTGTACACGCACTGGTGTTTGTATGAGGTACAGTCATCATATGAAAGTAGTAGGCATCTGGATAAGTCTGGAATAATGGTTAATTTTATTGAAAGGCCTATCGTGAACAATCAACTTTTCTTTTTGAATTATGACATGAATACAGAGTTAAGTTAGAGTTATATTTGGGTACAATATTTTTATTACTAATGCTTTTGCAAGAAAAATGTTGCAAAAAATGTTTGTTACTACTGTTTGTTTGTTACTATATCTTGAATGTTTTCTATACGATACAGTTTTATAATATTATTGGCCTATTGTTCACCTCATGTGAGACGTTTTTTGCACTTGTATTTTTTGCAGCGGCCGCGTTCCACGCAAAATTGTGAGAAAGCGCGAACGGTAGTAATTTTATTGAAACTTTCTAACTATAGCTGTTATGATTTAGTTCTAACGTCTGAATCCGTGCTAGCTAAATTTTATAGCAAATTAGAAAAAAAAACTTTACGACCGTAATTTATTTTTCCCTAAATTTTTTTACATGATTTAATGGGTTTTGACTTTACTGTATGTTTTATGTATTTTTATTAATTGCATGTGGTATTTTTTATGGTAAATAGATTTTTTACACCGGTCTATACAATTAGTAAACATATGAGCTATAATTTTCTAGCCAGTTTATATGCCGTGGCCGCAAACAGGGGCGTTACCAGAATTTTCATAAAACTCCAATTTACGTCTCTACACTATTTAATTAGACAATGAAAATTTACTTTCGTTTATTTTAATTGCATAATACTGTATAAATTTATTACAAAAAATACTAACAAACACATACACGATTAAAAACGGACTTGATTTTAGACAGATTCGTGCAGTTTTTGCAGTAAATTTCCAAGCCAATAAAATTACTTAGCAACAATAAAAAGTATGCTAATTAGTCGTAATTTATTTTCTGTTCACTAATAATATAGTTTTTGCAAATGGAATTAATTAAAAACGTATAAATGCCATAAATTAATTAGCGAATTCAATCTAACATGTTGCTGTCCGTCGCAATTTTTTTTCTCACGAACGTTCGCAAAAATACGAAGGCAATAAAAATTGTCTGCCGTTAATCTTATTGTTACTGTTATGTAACCCACACAAAAGTCGGAAATCGCCGGTCGATTTGCATTTTGAAACCGGTATGATTCGTGCTCGATACTCGTGGGTGGATGTTCCTTTCAATAGAAGAAAGTGTGTTATGCTGACTGTATGTCCTAATGTAGCATCCGCATGATGAAGAGAATGCTGACCGTACAAATTTTCTTTAAGGATAGTTACCTAAAAATGAGTAAGACTCTATGCATTTATTTCCTTTATAGCCTGTTAGCTTTTTCACTTGTATTAGTACAAATAAATAAAACAATTTAATTATTGTTTCAGAGTTTATTTAGTTAAAATAGTTAAGATAGTAAATTAAATCTTAAATAGTTTTTTCTTAACTATTTAAAAAAAGAAATATTGAACTACTTTTTAATACAAATATTTCTGCCTGTGTCTAGCAAAATAGTCATGGTTATCGGAAACCGAAATATATTAAAGGTGATTGTGTGGCCTCAGTTTGGTTGTCATCGCGTTGTCAGATC